AGAGGAGGGGCCCATTTAGGTTCAGTTTTCCACACGCAGAGCCTGAGACCGGGGTTCTTGGCTCGTGATTTCTCAAGGAGGGTTTGGAATCCACGGGGAAGTGGGAATCGAACAGAGGGAGGGGAGTGTTTGGGCAGAGTCTGTTCTCAGCCTGTCCCCACGGGGAGCTCTGGGCTGCGGATGGCACCACAGAGCTGCCCACCTTGAGGGTGCAGAGGAGACCGCCTTTTCTTCATATCCCTCTATCGGTCGGTGGTTGGCTGTGGGCCACCATTGTAGGGGGCGGCGGGAGGGGGGAAGGTGTAACCTCACATGCATCTGTGACCATAGCAGCTCCCGTTGGTTCTGTGGGCCATTAGCAGCCAATAAACCCAGGAGCTGGGGACAGCTTCACTCACCTGATAAAGGGGATTCGAGTCAAGGCGGGGAGCACCAGGAGCATCCACTGCAGAGCCAAAGGTTTCTGGGGACAGGTGATAAAGACCAAGGCTGGGGTGAGCGCTGAGGAAAGCGGATAGGGGGCGTGTGGTCTGACGTTTCACTGTCCCAGGGTTCTCTGCCTCGTGCTCAGGGAAAAGTCCGAAGTCCTTACCACAGCTTGCCAAGGCCGCCGGGATCTGGTGCCCCTTCACTCCACCCCGCACGCTCTTTACCTCTGTGTCCATTTTCTCCCATCGTCTACCATCCTCTCCTTCACCCTCTCCCCTGAGGCCACACTGGCCTCCTCGCGCGTTCCCACCTCAGGACCTTTGCACGTGCTAGTCCCGCTTTTCTTCCCCCGCACGCCCCACGTGGCTTAGTCCCTCGTTTCCTTCAGCTCGAACTCTACCTTTTCAAAGAGGCCTTCTGTGACTTTCCTATCTCGATGAACCCACAGATTAAGAGACTTAAGAAACAGATCAACCTAATGCGATATGAGCCCTTCAGATCTTGACTCCGATGAACCAACTCTAATGAGACACGGTGGGACCATCAGGGCCAAGCTGACCACAGACTGGGTAGTAGATAAGATTAAGGAATCATTTGTTAATTGTGGTGGATGTGGTAACGGCGTTATGTTTACATTCATTTTTTTTTTCCTTATCTGTTAGGAATCCATACGGACATACTTTATGAGTAAAACAATACGATGCCTAGGACTTTAACATACCCCAGCAAACACTCCGGTGCACACACAACCACACATGGATGACGGGATACAAAGCAGCCTGAGCCATCACATCCCCACCATATGGGACAGACTTGTCTATGCAAGTGCCAGGGCATGGGCTGTACTGAATTCTTGTCCAGGCTGCAGAGTGGACAAGAATTCACACCCCCATGCCCTGCCTGGGGCCAGCTCTGAGAACGCCTCCTTTGCCGGCCAAAGGCTGAATTCCCAGCATCTGTGTCACCCCATCTTAAGGCCGGAATGAAGGGCCACATGGAGGTAAGGCCTCTGGAGGCAGCCCGGTGCGGGGACAGAGGGACTCTCAGCTACTAGAACCCACAGGGAACCAAAGGGGCCCCCGGCCCCAGGAGAGGGGCCCAAGCTGGGGTGGAGATGCTGGGCATATCTCAGACAGGTATGCATACCTGTGGCCCAGTGTCCGATGCTCTCTACACAGTTCTGGGCTGATACAAAGAAGCTCCTGCTCCCTGGACCTCCTGGCAGGCGCCCTTTTCCCCCACTGAGCCGTCCAAGAGGGCAGACAGAATGGTAAGGGTCTGCGCTACGTCAGGTCATAGCATCCGTGGCCTCAGCTTCTTTGCTCTCTCCCTGTGCCTCCTCCCTGCCGTTGGCGTTCCTTGGGTGTCAACCAGGAAGAGCTAAACTAAGGTATTGATGTGCGTTATCTGGATGGAGTCAACAGACCGCTTGGCTTCTTATCTCCAGCTTGCTGAGACCAGGAGAGGAGCAAACAGCAGCTGACAAGTCTCCCAGGAGTGGCAGCCAAGGGCAGAGGCCTGCTTGGGAGGCAGAGCACCTGGGACAGAGGTGAGCTCTTCCACTCACCTGGAGGAGCACGGGGCGGGGGAGATCATCGCTGGCTGACGCAATCCCAGGAGGCTTCAGGGAGGAGGCTGCCCTACACTGGGCTTTGAAGGATGCGTAGGATTTAGAAGCATACAAGAATTAAATGAATGACTGCTGAGGCCTGCAGCACACAGTAGATGCTCAATACATGAATAAATGCTAGTTCCTCCCTACCCCTTGCTATTGGGGGAGGATGATCAGGGGATAATAAGAACTAACATTTATTGAAAGACTTCGTATCCTGGGTCCATAGTCAAAATCCACAAACCACCTGTTTTACAGGTGAGAACACTGAGGCACCAAAAGGGAGCATCATGTGCTCAAGGTCCACCGGACTAGCAAGTAGGAATGGAGTTCAGGCTCGGGTCTGGCCGAGTCCACCTCTGGGGCTCCCAGTCTCCCCTCTGTTCTGGGGAACTCACACAGTATGCCTTTAAGAAAACAAGGCTGGGTCCTGGTGGCTTCTGGAGGGGTGACCCTGGCACAAGGTGGGGGGTCAAAGAGAGACCAAGGCAGCAGGAGACGCAGAGAGAGTTCGCTGCCACTCAAATATTCCTCCTGAGGGAAGAAAGGAAGAGGTACCTGGCAGAGGGCACAGCGTGGGCCAGGGAAAGAAGGTGGGACGTGGCAAGTGGGCTTCTTCCAGCACAGAGGTGCAGCCTGAGGCCCAGAGAGGGGAGGGCACTTGCTCAAGGTCACACGGCCATCATAAGGCAAGGGAGCCTCAATGGAACCAGGAGCTGGGTTCTGCCATGGGCTGTGGCACCAGGTAGACCCCAGATTCTCTGAGCCTTGTTTCCTGCAGGTCTATAAGGGGAGAGGTAGGGCTCCCCATGTCAGGACCTCGTGGGCCCCTGCCATCTCTGGGACCTCAACCCCCCACCCCATCTCAGCTGGGGTGAGGGCCCCCTGAGGCATAGAGCCAAGAAAGATCAGATCTGCCCGGGCCAGCCTGCCCCATTGGAGGCGCTTTGCTGCCCCCTGGTGGCTCCAAAAGATCCTGATTTCCACTCCCATTTCCTAAAAGATCCTTGCCAGGGGCAGGATGTGCCTAATTCCAGGACCAGGACCTACTCTCCTTAGGACCCGCGGGAGTGTCCAGATGGATCTGGAGGGCCTATCTCCTTCCCCAATGTCCCACCGCCGCCGACCCCCACACAAAGAAGGCCAAGGTCCAAGAAACGTAGAGTCGTACTGTAAATCACAGGGTTTGAACCTGGCTGGGCCATATTCCAGCTGTGCGACCTTGAGCGAGTTATGTCACCTTCCCATGCCTCAGTTTCCCCATCCGCAGCACAGGGATGGTAATCCTGGCTTCCGCTTCATAGTGTCTTCGCAAATGTTAAAGAAGACAATGAGTAGAAAGTTCTCGGAAGAGTTTCCCGTATAAGACAAGCACTTTATAAAGACGTGATAGCGTCCTCACCTGCCCAGGCCTGAGAGGGGACGGAACATTCGCCTCCTTCCTGTGTGGGGGTCGGCGGCGGTGGGATATTGGGGAAGGAGATAGGCCCTCCTGAGCAGGACCCCCAGGTGAGGGCGGCCCTGGTAGGCGCTCAACATGGGCAGATTTTCTTAGAGACCCAGAGTTTGAATCCTCGGTGTTGTTGTTCAGTCTGTGTGAGGTGGAGAAGGTTGCTTCATCTCAGAGTTGGGCTTGAGGTTGCTGTGAGCCTTCTGTGAGCTCATGGAAAGACAGGACCCGATGGAGTTACAAACTCAGCTCAGAAAGGGTTTATTGGCCAGGGCTGTAGGGGGAACCAAAGGGAGCAGTTCCGGAGGCCTTCCTGCAAGAGATGGCCAGCACAGAGGCTCAGGGCTGTGAGCACAGAGGCCCCTCAGCCAGCTACGGTGGTGTCCATGAGCCCGTTTGGGTTCTCTGGGGTGCGACCGGCCCTCCCAGACCAGGAGCCCTCAGCTCTGGCCCACCCGGGCTTTCAAAGACTGCAGCTCTTGGCTGTCAATACTGTTTCCTCCACACACGATGACCACGACAGAGGCCAGGGAGGGTGGCAGGCGGCCCTCAGCCTGGAGCTTCCCCAGGATTCCCGAGTAGATGGCAGCTAAGGCTGCCCCACAGGCAGGCTCCACCAGCATGCGCTCGTCATCTGCCCAGAGCAGGGGAGGGCGGGGCGGAGGAGGGGAGAGAAAGGCGGGAACTGGTTAGGCTCTGGGCACTGCAAATTCATGAAGCCAGCCAGACATTCATCTCGCAGCCCATCATTTGTCTGACTCCCTCGCCATCCATCAATCTGATCGTCTATGTCTCCACCCACCCACCTTTCATCCATCTATTCCCCTATCCATCATCTGACTGTTTGTCTGTCCATCCATCAATGTAGCCATCAATCAACGTATCTGTCCATCTGTCTATCCATCCATCCATCCATCCATCCACCCATCCATCCATCCATCCATTCATCCGTCCATGTCTTATCCATCATTTGGTCGTCTGTCCATCCATCAATGTGTTCATTAATCAGTGTGTCCATCCATCCATCCAACCACTTCTATGTCATTCATCAATTCATTGCCCCATCAATCCATCCACCCGCCCATCGGTCTATCCATCTATTCATGATCCACCTTTTGGCTCACTCATACACGCATCCATTCATTCAGCACCTTTATTGAGTACCCATTCCCTGCCAGGCCCTGTTCTAAGAAGGCCCTTGGGATACGACAGTAAATGAGACCCATCTGCCCCTGCCCTCACAGAGTTCACAGTCTAGTGAGGTAGATGGATAAGAATCAGACAGTTATGAGGTTGGTGGGGTTGGTGCACGGAAAGTCTCCAACCCAGGTGGGGTAAGGGTAGGAGATTGGAGAAGGCTTCCTGGAGGAGGGGCCATGATGGCTTACTCACATGAAACCAATAGGGAGTAGTGCCAGGGGTGGGAAGAAGAGCATGTGCAAAAGTCTGGAGGCTAGAGACGAGACAACACACCCCTTCCGTACCCCCACCCCCGCCATCTACACCTGCCGCACGGTTCCTGCAAAGCCAGCCCTGCGATAGGCACTCAGGATACAGACAGGGAGCACCTGCTGTCTCTGGGGAATCCAGGGTTTCCGAGCCCCTCCACCCCGAGGCGGGGGAGCCCTCACTCACCCAGGAACCGCTGCACAGCACTGACAGCCTCCGCATCCTCCACCACCTCAGATAAGATCTCGAAGTCCTGTGCGCACTCCAGGGCCCGTGCGACCACCGTCTTGGCCCCCAGGGACTTGGCCACACTGCGGCAGGGACACGGGGAAGCGCTGTTGAATTGTGTCTCCTCTCCGCAGCCCCAGGCCTCCCTCCCACCCCGCAAGGCCTGGGGCTCAGCATTGCGAGAGTCTGGAGCAGCGCCCGGCACAGAAGAGGGGTTCGAAACTTGAGTGCCCCGCGAATGATGAAGGCGCATCCCTCCCTCTCACCCTGTAACTGTTCTTTGCACAGACCCCAGACGGCCAAACATAAAAAAGGACTTTTTCCTTTTTTATTCATGAATAACCGTGTATCATGTCTATATGATAGCTCATATTTATGGGATGTTTACGAAGTGCTGGATGCATGGATTTTCTATTTTAATCCTCATCGTCATTCTCTGAGTTAGAAACGTATGAGCTCCATCCCTTGCTGTCATATGCCATTGTATCCCAAGACCAGTATTTGATGGGTGTTTAATAAAATGTGGGCAGTAAGGATATTGGTAGAGGGTTGAATAGCATCTCTCTCCCCAAAAAATCCATGTCCACCCAGAACCTCAGAATGTGACCTCACTTAGAAATAGGATCTTTGTAGATGTAATTAGTTAAGATGGCATCATACCGGATTAGGGTGTCCTTACAAAAACAGTAAAGACACACAGAGAAAGAGGCCGTGGAAAGACAGGGAAGGTGATGTAGCTACAAACCACGGAGTGACAAGGACCTCCTGCAACCACCAGAAGCTAGGAAGGCAAAGAAGGACCCTCCCCTAGAGCTGGGCATATGTCACTTGTATGTCAATGCAGGGGGGACGAAAATGGGGACAAATGCAACCCAGTCTGAGCGATGTCCACTTTCTAACGGCAATACACTTAAATCGCTTTTGTAAGGATCCAAACCAGGGAAAGCTTGGTTTATTCATTGATGAGACTTAAATGAATCGGATCCTACTTGTTCAGCACTGCCTTCTAATTTAGCTTCGCATGACTGTGGCCGGAGTCCTGGGATGAAGGAGACTCTCTTGAGTGTCCCCCGCCTCTACTACCTGGGACTGAGAGGTCCTAGGTAGCAACATCCCCACCTTCCAGCCGCCCCACGAATGTCCAGCATGCACCTACCTGGTGATGTTGGGCAGTGTGACCAGCCTGCCTGCCTCGATGGCTGCATTCAAACAATGTGCCCCTCGGGTCTCCATGGCGACAATGGGCACGTGCTGCCAGCCCACCTCCGCCAGGCCTGCCAATACCCCGGCCAGGAGCCCGCCACCCCCCACTGCCAGCACTAGGGCCCCCGGTGGGGTCTCCAGTACTGCCTTCAGCTCCCGCACCAAGCTGGAGTGGCCTTCCCTAGGGAGAGGGGGAGAGGGGGAGGGCAGAGCAGGGTGAGGGAGGCGCTCAGCCCCAAAGGCTCCCAGATACAGACTCCCCTCATCACCCACAGCGAAGGGAGAGGAGACCCTGCAACACTCAGCTTTGATCACTGACTTTATTCATTTACTCGTTCTTTCCCCCAGGACCAACCTCCCAGGACTAGCATATCACTCGGAACCGGCTCGACTCAAGTTCAGAGGCCGGACCCCAATGACTCTACCACTTACTAGCTATGGGATCTCAGGCAAGTTGCTTGAACTTTGGAGCCTCAGCTCCCTCACCTGTAAAACGGGCATAAAACACCCACCTCTAGGGCTTTAGGGAGGATGAAATGAACTGACTGTGTCCCAAAGCACACACTCAGTAAAGGGGATTTATATTAGCATTCCCCTTTACACACTGGAAACTGGGACACAGGGCGGTGAGATGCCTCGCACACTCACACCACTAATGAGTAGCAGGAGCGGAGTCTGAACCTCAGTGCGCCTGGATTCTATGCCTCTTCAGCTCTCTGGGCCTCAGTTTCCCCTTCTGTCCAGTGAGAGGACCTCGACTCAATGAGGGTCTCTCAGCTCTGAGTTCCATGCGGGGAGGGGCACCAGCCTCACCATATCAGGGGGTGGTCGAACGGGGAGACGTTCACCCAGCCGTCCCTCTTGGCCAACTCTTGTGCCTTCAGATTGGCTTCATCCCAGACCTAAAGAGGAACAGGTCGAAGACCCTGGAGTCAGACTGTTGTAGAGGCTGCCTCAGCATCTGCTTCTGGGGAACCCCAATTAAGATGGCATTGCAGAGGGATCCCACACCAGCTAATTTCAGCAATAGCTAAATAGTAAATAACAGTCTCCTCTCCCGCAGGGGAGTGGGTGACATGGGGACCAGGAACAGACTCTGTCCACCCTCTGGCACCCCACAGCACCCACTCTGTGCCCAGTCCTGTGTGAGGGGGGCGCACAGGAGAAAAAAAGTTGTCTCTGCCCACATGGAACCCCCCATCTAGCCGAAGAAATGGGCCTCATTCTTGTGAGTTATTAAAACAAAAATGAGACGCAACACCGTGCAGCCCTGACGTCTCTCGCCGGAACTTCTAGAGCACGGTCCCTGGCTCCTGACCTCCTGCCCGCTGCCCCAGGGCAGCCAGAGAAAATCCAGCCATGTCCCTCCTCTGCTCAAAACCCCATGCTGGCTTCCCACGGCCCCCAGGCGAAAACCCACGTCAGCCTCACCTGGTCAGGCACCGGCCCCCTCTTCAGCCTCCTCCTTCTCCACCATTCTGCCCTCCCCCCATGCCGGGCTGCAGCTGCACCGCACCAGGCTCACCCCACTTCTACGCCTTTTCCCCATGCACTGTACCCACAGTCCCTCTCTTCCTCCTTCAAGACCTGACTCAGGGGACCTTTCTCCAGGAGCCTTTCCTGCATCCCGCCCCAAGTCCGAGGCATAGCCCGGTGCCATGGTAGTCTGTGCCGCCACCCAATTCTTCACCCTCTTCCTCTGTTAGAATCACACATCCGCGCCCTTTGCCATGTGACTTGGCCACTCTTCCCACGAGAATGGGTGGAGTACGTTTCCCCCACCCCGCATTAACGATGGTCTTAGCTATGTGACTTGCTACAGCCAATGACATATGGCAGAAGTGATGGTGTCACGCTTGGAGCCAAAGCTTTAACAGGCACCGCACACTGTCTTGCATTCCTCTTGCCATTTACCTTGAGGAGGTGGCCGCTGGTCTAGAAGATGAGGAGCATGTGTATGGCCTTATTCCTGCCTGCAGCCCATCCGCAAACCCATGAGCAAGATCGATCGTGTTTCTTGTACACCACTGACATTGGGGGCTGTTTGTTACGCAGCATTATCAAGCAGCAATGGCTGATTAGAACAAGATGCCTTTTCTGTTCTTCCTCAGTGCCCCGTGCTTCCCTCATCACGGCACTTATCACGTCCTGTTACCATCATCTGGTTACCTGCGTGACTCCTCAACAATACTTTGAGCTTCATGAGAGTAGAGACCATGTCTATTTTCTCTGTATCCCTAATTGTCCCACATCTTGCAGGTACATGGTATATGCTCAATGAATATCTGTG